CTTTCGCCCTGAGTAGAGTGCCATGGAATCAGGGCAACCTCCAACTCCTGGGCTTAAGTGATTCTCTTGCCTCAGCCTCCCAAGTAGCTGGGACTGTAGGCGTGCCCACCACAACACCTGGCTATTTTTTTTTTGTAGTTGTCATCATTGTTTTGGGCTGGATTCGAATCTGCCAGCTCTGCTGTAGGTGCCTGGCACCTTAGCCACTTGAGTACAGGCACCAAGCCTAAAAATAATATTTTTATATGACTTTTACATTCAGCTTTTTTAGTTGCAGAATACAAATTGATACATAGATGATCAGTTTGTCTAATCCAAAACAGATCTTATCGTTACATTATAGAACAATTTTTGCAGTTTTTTTTAAACTTTGTCTCACCCTGTCAACCAGGCTGGAGTGCAGTGGCCTGATCTTGGGTCACTATAACCTCAAATTCCTGGACTCAAGTGATCCTCCGGCCTTGGCCACCCTAGTAGCTAGGACTATAGATGGGCACCACTATACCTAGTTAATTTTTTTTAACATTTTTTTGTAGAGTTGGAGACTCACTGTGTTGCCCAGGCTGGTCTTAAATTCCTGGGCTCAAGCAACCCTCATACCTCAGCATCCTGAAGTACTGAGATTAACAGGTGTGAGCCACCACACCCAACCTTTTTTGACTCTTTCTAACCAAGGACAGGTTTTGTCTTTCTGTGTAGTCTAGCCAGAGCACTTGAATGTTTTATATTCCTCAGCCAAAGTATTTTGAATGTTTCTTAATATAGATCTTTTAACATTTGTTGTTTTTTTTCCTGGTTGTTTTATCTTTTACTTTTTTTTGAGACAGAGTCTCACTGTATCGCCTCTAGTAGAGTGCTGTAGCATCACAGCTCACAGCAACCTCCATCTCCTGGGTTTAGGCAATTCTCTTGCCTCAACCTCCCAACTAGCTAGGACTACAAGGCACCTGCCACAACGCCCAGCTATTTTTTGTTGCAATTTGGCCAGGGCTGGTTTCGAACCCACCACCCTCAGTATGTGGTGCTGGCGCCCTACCCACTAAGCCATAGGCGCTGCCCTGTTTTATCTTTTACTTTTGTGAATGATGTCTTTTTTCCATTGTCTCTTTTAGCTGTTTTGTTTATTTAAAAAATCTAAAAGTCTGTTGCTCTTTTTTTTTCCTTTTTTTTTTTTAATTTAAAGATCTCAGTTTGCTTTTCTATGATTCTAAAATCAGATACACTTCATTCCATAAAAGAGAATAAGAGTTCCAAGGAGCTAAGCAGAAAGTTAGAAAAGTTTGGCTTTAGAGACCAAAATAGGCTGAAGTAAGCAGAAGCAAAGAACAAAGAGCATATTAGTCCTGTCAAAGTTATTTTTCTTATAACGCAGGACCAGGAGATAGAACAATAGAAAAATGACTAGTTATCATCAGGTTACATCAAAGCTACCTTTTCTGTGCAAGCATTAAAGCAGAGGGAACTTCATTACCATACTGATGGCAGTTTTAAACTGTTTGGGAAACTGGTTATTACCTGTTACAGCTCTCTTGCTTTTTCTCTCTCCTCTGCTTACACTCTCGCTCATGCTCACACTCCTGCACACTCTCTCGATTTCTTGGAATGTTGGATCACAACTTAGTTTAGGTTTGGTGAGGTGGCACTTTAGCATGGGTAACTCCATTTTGATTTTGAGTCTGGTGCTTTGGGGCCTAGTACAGAAACCTAGCCCAGAACACCAGAACAGTGGCCTCCTATAGTTTTTTTTGGAGACAGAGTCTCACTCTGTTGCCCTGGCTAGAGTGTCATGGTGTCATACCTCAAACTCCTCGGCTCAAGCAATCCTCCTGCCTTAGCTACCCAAATAGCTAGTTTGTCTATTTTTTAGTAGAGACTGGGTCTCACTGTTGCTCAGGGTGGTCTCAGAACTCCGGAGCTCAAGCAGTCCACCAGCCTCAACCTCCCAGAGTGCCAGGATTACAGGCGTGAGCAACCACACCCAGCTGGCTCCTATAATATTTAAGTTCTCCCCTTTGTGGGCATCAGTGCTACTAAGTTACCCTCATTTGGGGTTTACTTGCCATTTAAAAATTATGGTGTCCTCTTCATCATCATGCATTTCATTGAGTTTTTGTTGTTCCTTCTGGAGGGAGAACATTTTACCTTTGACAGATAGCTATATGGAAAGAAGGATTTACAACTTTATGGAGGGCTGGGCATGGTAGCTCACACCTGTAATCCTAGTGCTTTGGGAGGCCAGGGCAACATAGCAAGACACTGTCTCTACAAAAAAAAATACAAAAATTAGCTTGGGGTGGTGGCCTGCACTTGTAGTCCCCACTACTCCGGAAGCTGAGTTTGAGATTGCAGTGAGCTGTGATGACACCATTGCACTTTAGCCCAGGCAACGGAGTGAAACACTCTTTCAACAACGACAAAAAACTTTCTGAGGGGATTCAGTATGCCAGGAAGACTACTATTATGACTGTCACAAGGGTAATACTAAGAGTTTGGATCGAGTGTTCATAGCCAAAGTCCTGTGAATCAAGTTGGCCCTGCCATACTCAGCTTATTTATCTACATGCAACTGTGCAAATTTCTTTCTCTTTAGTTAGCATCACATGACGGGGTTAAATTTGAACACAGTGCAAGGTACCTGCAGAGGCTACTCACTGTGAAATTTTAACTACAGCTTTATTCTGTCAAGGGAAAGAGGCATGAGAAAGGAAAAATTAAGAGGGCTAAGAGTCTTAAGATAGTGTTATTCCAGTGGTCTTGGGAAAAGCTGTCCATGGCATGAAGTTAGTAATTTCTTGTCCTGGTTTGCAGTTTGAATGTGTCTAGTTGTGGCATCGGGCATTTTGGTAAACGCTCTGTGTGACCCACACATCAGGCATGAGACCTATCTCTTGAAATTTACAATGAGTTGTAAAGCTTCCGCTTATTGGGCATTTCTCTTTCATTGGAGGGTTGTAAAGCAGATATGGACAAAACTAGAAGAATTCAGTCTAGTCTGCAGTTAGATAATAAAAACTCAAACAATGGACAGAGCTACAATATAATGACAGATACATTGTATCTTCTTTTGAAATAAAATTTTTCAGGCTGGGACAGTGGCTCATGCCTATAATCCTAGCACTCTGGGAGGCCGAGGTGGGTGGATTGCCTGAGCTCATGAATTGGAGACCAGCGTCAGCAAGAGTGAGACCCAGTCTCTAAAAGAAATAGCCAAGCATTGTGGCTGGTGCCTATAGTCCTAGCTTCTTGGGAAACTGAGGCAAGACAATCACTTGCACCCAAGAATTTGAGGTTGCTGTAAACTATGATGCTATAGCACACTACCAAGGGCGACAAAATGAGACTCTGTCTCAGAAACAAAAAGAAAAAATATTAATTTTTCTCTCTATAGTCATCCCCATTTTTGTCAAAGATAATAACATTAAAACCAACTTGTTGCATTATTTATTTATATAAGTGCTGCAAGGATAACCTCATGGGTGCCTTTTAAATTTACTTTGCTGGAAATTTTGAAAAGGAATCTCAGATTAAACTTGAGAAAACTTCTTGATACGAGGAGGTCAAACCAAGGCAGACATTAGATTTTGTCTCTATCTAATATCTTGAGGTTCCTGGACCTGCCAGGAGGGGACTACTTTTTTTTTTTTTGAGACAGAGCCTTGCTCTGTTGCCTGGGCTAGAGTGCCACACAAGGCCTTAACCACAGCAACCTCAAAATCCTGTTCTCAGGCAATCCTCCTGCCTCAGCCACACCTGGGACTACAGGCACCCACCACAACACCCAACTATTTTTTCTATTTTTAGTAGAGACAGGGTCTCACTCTTGCTCAGGCAGATCTTGAACTCCTGAGCTCAAGCAATTGCATGTAACTTTTGTCCCCCCCAAAACTTAACTACTAATAGTCTCCTATTGACTGAAGCCTTACTGATAATGTAAACAGTCCATTAATGCATATTTTGTATGTTATACATATTATATACTGTATTTTTATTTTTGTTTTTTCTTTGCTTTCCTTCATTGTATATGACCAATATGAATAGATAATATATTCTTAAAAAACGTTATTAAGAAAATGTTATTAAGGAAAGCATAGAAAGAAAATATATTTATTGTCCATTAAGTGGAAGTAGATTACTTAACCCCAGGAGTTTGAGGTTGCAGTGAGCTATAATGATGCCACTGCACTTGTAATGGAGGGGACAGAGCAAGACTCTTTCTCAAAAAAAAGTTGTTTACCAAAGAAATAGCTCCAATATT